GTGCTTCATTTTAGATGGGAAAGATGACACTTAAAAATCTATTTATATCGAATCACAATTGATTTAATGAACATTAATCAGACGCAGAAGACTGTGCCAAAATATTAAATCGTTAATTGAAATAATTCACTGCAGGTAGAAAAGCCATCACATTTCTTCAAACTACCAGAGATTTGAGTCTGCACAGGACATGATGCACTGATACAACAGAACCTAAGGATTATAAGGGGAGCAAGGCACCTTGATTTTCTTCTTTTTAATATTTTTCTTTTGTGCATGATACAAACATAAATGACTCTATGACGGGTAGACACAACAAACTATGAGGTCTATTGTGCTAATCATCTGCAAATTAAACCGTAGTAAACCCAAAATAAGTCTCCATGCTAAAGTTGTTAAGACCTTCTCTATCAATATCCTGCAGAAAATGAATTATACAATTATACCTCAGTGCAAACTGTAATGACTACAAATTACAGCACTAATTATATTATACAGCAAAGTGATTTGATTCATTGCTTACAAGGCATAATTAATAAGATGAAATAAGATTATCTCTATATTCCATCTTTAGAGTCTATTTTTCTGAGGAGTAGTTTGTTGGGGGTTTTTACCCAACATCTCATTGCTCTGACTGCCAGAAATATTTAATGCATTTTTTTGTGTGAAAGTCGTTGAGCATCATCTTAAATTACTCAGATGAGTCTGGTAGGGTTTGTAAAGAATCAGGATGCATCACTACTCCCAGGAGATGAAATAAAGAGATAAACAGAGATAAATAGAAGGCAATCTTGTATGCAGAGAGCTCTTTAAGGGTATTTCTTGATGAGCAAGGGCAGGGAAATGACTGAAGCAGATTACATTTGCATTTCTGTTAGGTGACAGTTCATTTTAATTTCATTGATTGTGTTTCAGTTAGGATAACAAAATAGCCTTTATTATTTCCTAGGGGAAAAAGAAATAGAAGGATAGGCCAGGCTGGGGTGACACCTCACAGTCCCAGCTCCCACCCCAAACAAGAAGCAATTAGGTTTGGCAGAAAAGCCCCTCTGAGCAGCCCCTCTCCTATGGGACTGTAAAAACTGAGGTAACAGAGGAACATCCATAAGGCAGCCTAAACTGCTTGGTGTAGAGCTCATAGGAATGACATTCCATCTTCAGGACATAAGCAAAGGCCTCCCTGTTTAATATCCAGTCACCTGTGCTGAGCTCAGCGTTGGCAGAGCAGCAGAGATTTTTTTTTGCAAAACACTGACACGTCAAATTTGGAAGCAGTATTGAACAAGAAACTGTAAAAACAGAAAGAGAATAGAGAGAAAAATATCTTTACTCTGGACTGTAGGAAACTTATTAAAGGTTCTTGATAATGACAGGATGAGTGGAGATGATTCATTAATAGCACTCCCCAAAATCCTTCATATTGTTGCCAATATTTCTCTTAAATCCTGCTTTATTCTGTTAAGATATTTTTATGTACCAAGAGGTGATCAACTAAGAATAACAAAGAGAGTAAATATGCAATACTTTCCCTCTGTGTCCTAGTGTGCCTCTCTGTTCATTTCAATCAAAGATTTTGTTGGGATTTTGTCACTGGGTTTGATTTTGTTGTTAAAATAAATGGTCTTCCTTTTATAAGCCTCCACTAATCTCCTCATTGCAGAATTTTTTTCAGTGGCTTCCAGCTAGATCTTTCTGTTCTTAAGGACAATATTAAATAACACAGCTGCCATGGAATGCAGTTATCCTCATGCTGCAGTCAAATGAAGGAAATTTGTGAGCTCCGGTATTTGGGAAGAAAAGGCTCACAGATACAAAAGGTTTAAGAGTTCTCTGGTTGCTATTTTACTCAAAAGAAAAAAGGCTATTAATTTATTATTAGAACAATCTCCTTAATCAAAATGCTGATTCAGCTTGCTATTTATTAGATGATTATAATGAAGTCTATGAAAATCAGGAAAGAAGCCAGAACAGCAATCAGCTCTATTTTGCAATAAACTAAAGAACACCTGGTGCTTTGCAACTTTGTCCTTTGACATGATCTGTCAGAAACAATTTTAAACATTCTCAAACAAGTATGTTGGTCACCAGAAGCTATGTTGGTTTACCTTTATTTTTCTTTACTGTGTGTTTGATAACATAAGCAATACTACATTAAAATGTTAATATGAAATTCCAGTGAAAAGCCTGAATTGCTGAATGCTTGTATCTCTCCATAACAGTCTCTGCAGTTGCTCTCAAACAGGGAGAATAATCTGGATGTCAAATATTTGACAAGACAATTTGAGCAGAAGAAGGTAACTGTGGAGCCAGGAATTATTTTTAATAATTGATAACACTTCATATCATGCAAACTACATATAAAAATCATACTTTTCAGCCCAAGAATGAGGTTAATAAACCCTTAATTTTATAAGGATTCTTTCTGCTCCCCTCGCATCGTGATCTTAAAAATGCATTACTGCTATAACTCATATTTTTATGCAAATGAAAGGGGGTTTTGGTTGGTGTTGCTTTTGGTTTCTGTTTGTTTGTTGGTTGATTTTTTTGTAAATAAAGACCCTTCCTATTTACAGGTAAGTTACCATCACTTGTGATTTAATTGATCTCTGACAGAAGTTCTTTATGCATGTGCAGTTCAGGAAAAAATCTTTGTTTGTTGAATTTTGATTACAGCTGTGCAGTAGCAGGAGAGGTATATTCACATAGCAGTTATTTTCTCATTTTAATAAAAAAATTTGATGAAGAGAAACTATTATTTAGAACATTATTGCAGGTCTTCCCATTTCCATCCCAAGAAACACAGATTTTTTTCCTTCTATTCAGTAAGCCAAAAACATAACATGCATTCACACATAGACAAGAAAAAAAAGTGAAAGGAGACTGGAACATTCTGATGAAAAAAAATCAAGGCTTTCAAGTCATGAAAATGACTGCTATTATAAAAGCTGACATTATAAAGCAGTCTATGAGTGCTAGACTCCTTTTATTTAATATACATTCTAAACCCACTAATCTTAGAAAGTATTTTATCATTAACACAGAAAGCACAGCCTTCAATTTTTATACTTGAAAATTAAGACCAAGAATTTGCTATCACTGCATTCAAAGCTTTTCATTTATTCTCCCAAACACAACCATGTTAACTTCCAGACACCAAACACAAAATGTTGAAAAACTCCAGCTACTTTAATTATGAACATACCTAAACATCTTAGTGATGTAGAAGAGGGAGTCCCAATACCTCACAGGAAATCATTCTTGTAGGCTTAAAAAAAGCTTGTAAGGGACGAAAACTTTTTAAGTGCAAAATTGTTTTATGGTTTATTAAAATGATCAACTACACAAGTGTTTGCTATAAAATGTACTGATTTTAAAAGGCATATTTGAAAATTTAAATAGAAACCAAAAAATCCCAGTAAGATCTCTACTTTCTCCAAGTGAGAGAGAACTTTTCTTCTCTCACTTAAAAGCAGCATCACCATTTTGTATATTTTGTACACTGTTTTTTTGCAGGACTAAGTTCAAATTATCTTAGTGCAGACAGAACTGAGTGCACTTTTTGCACCTGAAGTAATTTAGCTTTCTAACGTGTATGATTTTTGACAGCAATGTAAGAAACTGAACAAACCCTAAACAAACAAACAAACAAACCCCAAAACTCTGACTTGAATTGCTCCTTTCTCTCAGTAGCTCTGCATAGTAGTAATTGGCACAGGAATAGCTCTACTCCATTAAAGTTTCTTCTTTCATAAAACAGAGATGAGAATACCTCTGAACATAATTCAAATAATTGACTGTCTGCATCTATTTTTGTTGATATATGTCAACTAACAGAGCTGTTATTTAGCTAAAGCAATTGCATTGTACCAAAAAATGCTAATCAGAGCAGTACTGAACATGAAATACTTCCTTTTGTTGACATTACTGTAGAAGTATTTTCTCTATTTCAAAACAATGCAGGTACTCTTCAACACCAAAAAGAAAATCTAGGTAGATTTTAGGCACTGTGACATGCAATTATACATCTTACTACATTTCAACTTCCAGTTTTAGGGTAATGAAAAATCAAAGTTCACTGAATTACACTGTGCAGACTTCTAGGTTGAGATTCAATTACTTCAATCCATGAAGTAATTCTTTTTCAGAGCTTCTAAAAAAGAAGTATAATCAACAGGGTGTAGAGCTGTTGAAATAATGAAAGTCAACAGCTCTGAATCATGGCACAGGATCAGAGCTACACTGGGATTTCTATGTGTACAAGCATATGTTCCAAAGTGCAAAGCAAATGTCTTTCAGTATGAAAACCTTAATATTATTTTACTTTTCACTGTGAAACCAGCAACAATTCTGATATACTCATCAGCACAAAGAGATGCTCTCTGTCTTTGCTGTGAGGCCCTGGCACAGGTTGCCCAGAGAAGCTGTGGCTGCCCCATCCCTGGGAGTGTTCGAGGCCAGCTTGGATGGATCTTGGAGCAACCTGGGCTGGGGGAAGGTGTCCCTGTTCATGGCAGGGGGTTGGAAACAGGTGATCTCTAATGTCCCTTCAAACCAAACACTTCTGTGATTCTATGATGCTTTGTTTTTAACACTCAGTGATGGAAATAGTGCAGCTTTTTTCTATTCCCTGATTCTTAATTTCCAAATTTTGCATTGAATTCTATAAGCCTTAGGTGACTATAACTTATTCTAATGCATTTCATTTGTAATAGTTAAACCCACAATGCTGCTTTTTTGACTGGCTGCTTCTAAATCTCAGTTAAAGCTCACTTGTTCTGGTATTTCAGGGACATTTAGCTGTTACATGTCAAAAAAAAATGACTAAACCCACAAGACAGTGAAGTCATCACAACCATACATCCCTCTCTAGAGGCAGATAAGGAGGTCCGTATTTTCTACATTCTTCCATGTGAACACATTATTCCTTGAGCACAAATTGGACCTCCCAAAGCTAATGCACTTCCTAAGGCATTATCCCCACCTTTTTCATTTGCTTTCAGATAAATTCCTGTACAAGCAAGTCTCGGCAAACAAAGCCCTTCATCAAGATGAAGCTGCTGCATGAGCTTGAATTATTACACTCTCAGCCCTGCTGTGAAATCAACAGGAAGAACAGGACAGTGCAGCACATCCGTGGAAAATCTGCCTCTCTGCGTGACTTCACAGATCACAGCATCTCCTGAGACACTGTTACTCTCCTGCCAATATCAATACACCACCAGGAAGGTTCCCAGTGAGCTGTGGTGCACTGGCCAGACCTTTGGTCAGGTCCAGAACTGCACTGATGTTTTTTTGCTGGCCAGTCTGTCAGATAGTGTCTGTGTCTGTGGCACCTCTGTGACACCAAGCCAGCAGTGCTGATGGCACCTCACGTCTCACGAAGCCTTCACTGTGCTGAAGACCCTTGGGTGCTGATGATTATCTTTGGGTACTGATGATTATTTTTGCCTCTTGCCAGCTTTTGTTTCCTCCTTCATTTTCTTCGTTGTTTTCTGCAACAGTTGAAAAGGCTGAACAAAATCAATACAAAAATATGTTACACTAGCACTAAACACTGGTCAGCTACTTGCACTGATACAGTTGAATTTGAATTTCACTGGGAATCTAAAACTTAAATGTACAGAAAACTGTGGTGATACATGCTTTATTTTTACATGTTTGCAAAAAAAGCCGTAACTTTATCAAACATTATAAACACTTTCACTGCTGACAACCCTCTTCAAACATCAACTACTGTAATTTTGCACACATTTACATAATACTGGCTGATTAAGCCGTCAGAATTTTCATTGCTGCTTGCTGCAGAAATCAAAAATAAAAACAGAGTTTGCAATGCTTTGCCCTCTTAAGATTCCTACACTGGAGTGTAAGACACAGTAAAATGGCTAATCTGAAGCATGTAGGGGAATATTCTCCTCAGTTACTAATTCCCTTATTCTCACATAATTAAGCTTCTTTTCCCCAGTATATAATCTGCCCCAGGTGGCAGCAACCCACTTAACAACCACCCAATCCGTGGGTCTGCAGCCCTGCCTGAGGAGATCTCTGCATGGACATCCCTTCTTTCATGATTCTTACTGAGCAGGGTCTCTTACCTTGACAATTTAATTCTCACGGGAACTACAAAGCCTCAAGGTCTGAATTGTCTGGGAACCCAGAAGGCTGTTACATGAACACAGCTCTCCCCTGTGTTATTTCAAAGTAATGTGATGTATTTCCAGTCTGTCAGACTTGTCTGTTCTGGGTTATATTGAAGCAGCATTGATATTCATCTCAAGATGCATATGGCAAGATATGTTATCGTATGGAAATGCAAGATTTGTAACAAAAATTACCATGTAATTATCTTTATTTCATTGTCATGCAGTTTCCTCTCAAAATAATGCATATTGTCTCACATCTTATAATTAAATCATCTCTTTAACTTCCACAGTAAGACCAAAGTTTTGAAGTTGAAAGGGAGGTCAACAGAGAACTATCAATAATACAGAACATCCATACAACTCTGCTGTGGGTAAAAGAGTAGTTTGAATTCCTTTCCTTTCTGCAGGAAAGGGTAAGTACAAAAACATTTGCTCATGAACACTTTTGAAAATAGAATTTTTAAAGTACCACAGAAAGATAAAAGTGATCAACTCATTCCCTATGAAATCATCCCATCTGGTTCCAATGCACATTAAATTAATCCAGGACAATAACACCTCCACACACACACTTACCAGTTTAACACTATTTAAAAAAAAAATTTAATAATCCACAATAATCAACCATTAAAACATTTGCACTGAAGCTTCCCATGCAATTTCTCTGTTGTCATCTTAATACTCATTTATGGTAATTTCCACAGTTTAGAAAGAAATCTGGTAAACAAGAATAGGGATGTTCTTTTTCATCTGAAAAAGGCACAGAATGGTCAGCTGCACCGTGGTGGAGCAGGTTGCTTCTACCCTGATTTACAAATAATCTGCTTTCCTCCTTGGAAGCTGTCTTTTGACTTCAGGGGAATTAATGCTACCGTCATTATGCTTATTGTGAAGTATTAATCTCTATGCTATAAAGAGAAAAGGTACTGCTATAATTATAATCCCTTATACTTCTGCTGTGCATTCCCAAAGTCAAAATGTAGTAGGCACTTTTCCATCCTTTATAGATTTGGTCTAATATCACAGAAATTATCAGAAAACTTCAACTCTTCATTGGAATCTGAGTAAAACTGTGCACTGATATGCAAATATTTGATCTGAAAAAAGCAAATAGCCCATTACCTGTAATTCTGTATTTGTCTGGTGAAAATGACCTGTGTCATTGGAGCTTTTTGGTTGTTTTAGTTCTTGTGTTAGTGGCAGGGATGAGATAACTGGAACTGGAAAGAAAGAGGGTGATACTGGTCATCTGGTGAATGCGACCCTGCACTAACTTCTTACTCTTCATAAAACTGGAATCAGAGTTACATCACTTCAGAAATTAAATATCATTGTACAAATGGCTATATGCTAATGCACTGTAGTGAAGATTTGGGTGAACTTTCCCATCTCTGTAATTATAAAAAGGAAGCTAAAATTACTTTGTCATGACCAGAAAAGAACAGGTGCATCTTTACAGGAGAGTTTTTCAGAAGGAATACCATACTTTTGCTCCTATTTCTCAACAAATTTTGTGAGTCTTGAGTCATTAAGAGTTTATAAAAAACGCTCTCAGTGGAAACAGAAAAGCCCACATGATTTGGTTAGTTTTAATTGTGGCAAGTTCTATTTATTTCTTCAAGAATCCAGAGGAAGTAGAGGTTGAAAATGAATGACAGATTGTCCCCTTCTAAACACAAGAGCTATCAGGTGTGTAATAAGGGCTCAGGGAAGCTAAGCAATTATGCAAAATTCAAAGGCAACTAGAGAACACAACAGTTGGTATAGGAGTGAGAAGGGGAACTTGATATTCCATGCGTGAGGAGTTTTAGGTGATCATGGAATTCCAGGCAGTAATGGTGGATGAAAGGACACCAAAGCACAAAGGAATTCCAATGAGCTCAAATAAGGGTCAATCAGGCTCAAGGGAATGTAAGAAACTTCAGAAGACTGTGAGTGGTTTAGTGGTCCATATTTCTCTCTTCCCCAGCCTATCCTATTAATCTGTCTTCTAAGACCTTTTCCTTTGCCCCATTTCTATGAAAAGAAATACTCTTTTTCCCCTCCTGGACCTTGCAAGACCAGTCCCAACATGTTCTTTGAGCAGCCTTCCTTTTCTAGGACCCAGATCAATCTTTCCTGCTGCTGTCCAGCAAGAAGCAGTCCCCTCTGCCCTCCACAACAGCATTTCAGACAAACCCAGTTTTCCTCTCTCCCAGCCTCTGGGAACAAATAGGCCTCTGCTTTGGTCAGTCATCCCTCCAATTTGTATTTCTAAGAATCAGCTGCCTCAGGTGCCCCATTTAGCAAATCTCATCTGCATTCCCAAATTTCTGGTTTATTCAGGGCCATAGCTCATACTGCTGGACTGTCTGACATAAATATATCCTGGTATCTGTTTAATTTGCATGTGGAATTCTATGTTCACAGCATGTAATGTCTTAAGTACTATTTAAAAGTTGTTCTGAGATTCAGACAACTAGAAAAGATGGATTAATTAACAGAATACCAGTAATGTGTTAGTAAATATGAGGCAACATCCTATCATCGTGTAACAATTTCAAATATTTCTAAAATAACTATTATTGAAAAGGATAACGCAATTCTGAGCTAAATAATTATTCCTCTTATAACATCATCTATCTTACTGAGAATTTTAAAGTGTGCAGAATATGGAACAATATTGCTCTTATACTGTGAAAGCAGAGATTTTAAACGTGATTCATTTTCCTGTCAGACTATCTGCCTAATGCCAGACAAATCTTTCAACCTTCCTCTCCCCTCCAAAATGTTGATAATAAAACTGCTCTTCCCTCTCCTACCTTCTGGCACATTGTGTTGGAGAGAAAAGCAGAGGAAGAGGGACTGTCTCTGCTACAGCAATTTTACAGTGTAATATGTGATATTTAGCAAAACATGGCTCAACTTCTTCTTATATTTTTAATTAAAAAAGAAGGGCAATACAAATAGCGTTGACAGTAACAGGTACATTTTGTTCTGGACTACACAGACAACTCTCACCCTAATTTGATGGGAGCCAAATTCCTTCCATCTGAAGCCAGGCCTGCACTGCACATTCCCTCCTATCACTTCCAAACATTTCAGCCTTTGTGAATGGTACTTTCTGGAATCTCATTATAATAGATTATGCATGTTTTATATGTTGCCTCAGAGAACTGCATATTTTAATACCCATACATCTCACCCAGAAATACTCGATCTGCCAGTTGTGCTTTATCTACCCTTCATAGATAATTTGCCTTCTGAACAGGACTGAAAAGAGATTTTAAGTGATTTTAATACAGGAAGAAATCCAGCAGCTGGAGCCAACTGTTAAAAAATTTGAAGCCCTATTAATTTTTTATCACATGTCCAAAAGGACACTGCTTTGTGTAGATTATACAGTCATATTCAAATAAGTTTGGAAAAGAAGCTTCAGACGTTGTTCTCAGAATAATTTTAAGTAATGGATAACGATGCCCATGAAAAGATGAGTGAGGAAAAAAGGGCAAGAAGAATCTATTTTGATCAACCAGCCAACTACAGAAGCATGTCAAACACATGCATTTTCATTTCCCTAAGAACAGGTTCAATGAAGCATTAAAGAACATATTACCACAGAGACAGCTGTATTCCAGCATACCAAATCAGGAGACATACAGGTTACTTCCCTGATTTATGTATCCCATAGCATCCTCCTGCCAAGGCTGAGTCCCTTGACAGAGAGAGCAGACTAATTCTAAAGACATATGCTAGGCTTCATCTTTTCTCAGAATCTCAAGCCATTGTGATCATGGCAGAATTCAACACAGAAACTGAAAGATTTATAGTGCTCAGCCTTGCACAGCTTGCAAAGACTTCCAGAGATGACCAAAGCAGCACTTATTAAATACACAATAATTGTATCATAAAAGCCAAATCAATCTGTTTACAGAGATGAAGCTTCACAAAAATTGAATCTTTGTTCTAGATTTTGACCTTTCTCTTTAAATTTTCAATGCATAGAACAAAGGACATAAACTTTTTATATTCCTACTGCAGCTGGGATTTTTTTTCCTCTTTTAAAGTTTTTCCTGTCAAAAAAGCCCTAATCCTACTCACTTACTGCAAGATTTTATCAGTATTCTTCAAAACTTGAACGGTATCTCAGAAAACAGCATCGCTAAATAGCAAAATGTGTAACAGTATCCGCTACCACCTTGAAATGGCAAATGAAAGCTCCAGATCCCTTGGTGTGTGAACAAAAAGCAGTGCTCATATAGAAATGAAAGAAAATAATGTCAAAATCATGATAAAAGATTTCAAACTGAAAGCAAAGTTAATTTTTCAATAGTCTAGTTCCATTACAGAGGATCAACACACACAGGGATATAAAAGCAGC